TTTCTACACATTTGTTAAGATCATCAATCAAATTGTCACACTCTTTATTGTTACTTTCAATAAATGGAATCAAACTGTTAACTTTTTTAACATCATCAGAATGAGTATGATGAATTCCCTTTTTAAAACAATCAAAACAATTTAATCGAAATCCTGTACAAAATTCATGATAACAAATAAAATCAATCTCTTCTATATGGTTATCTTCTTAACATCTTAACTTCAAACTTGCTTATTAAATCATTTTTATATTTTATATTAAATTTATAATCATTCTCAACCACGTATTTCTATTATCCTAATTCTATTAAATTATTTTACATTAAATATTAATTTACTTAAAAACAATTCAACAAATGCACTTCTTCAACCAAATTTCAAACTAAATTAAAATACAATACGATTCATCATTAATATACTTCTATTCTTATTTTCCTTTATATCTAATTTCAAACAATAATTTTTCTAAACATTCTAATTATAAATTGTATCTTTCTTATCTCTCTTTAATTTTTTACTTGAAATGAACAAAAATTATCAAATTATTAAGATAAAATAAAATACACAAAAAACAAGTCCAACCCTTCTATAAAAATCTATTTGTAATTTCCTTAACCCTAGGGATCATAACAATGATTTTAATTCTTATAAAAGACTTTATTATGATATGAACCATACACCCAGATAGATTATGACAAAACTACTTTTAAAATTAAATAATATTTTTATTTTGTTTCTCTAGTATTTCGTTTTGGCCAGAATATTAATTTTTTTGGACCGACTTTTGTATAAGAATTTGATTTTTTGAGATCTTGTTATAAGTTAAATATTTTCTGATGAAAGAGAGGAAGAAATAAAAATAAGCTTCAATTCTATAAATAGTATTCAGTGCGTATAAAGGAAATTACACTTTTATCGTGCTTTTATAAAGGACTTTTAAGACTATTCTACATTTATTGAGGAGATTGTTTGTAACTAGTGATCTTTAGCTAAATTTTGTCTAGTTCTGGAGTGAGATGTTCAATATTTTAACCCCTTATATCCATTTCTATTTGATGCAATCTCAAAAGACAAAAGTTAGAATTTTATGTTATTGTAATCTTTAAAATAAATATATAATAGTTTACAATTCGCACTATATTAAATAAACTGCAACTACACTAAAACCAGATTCTCTACCTCTTGCTCTTATACTTGCTGTCTCTTAAAATTATTTTCCCTGTTTAACCCACCACACAACTTCTTTGCATCTATTCTCAAAAGCCTTTAAGAGTAAATTGATTATTTATTAATTCTTTTTATATATCAATCCTCAATTGTAAATTAGAATATCAATGTGGTTTGGACTGTAAATTCAATATGAAAATTTTATTCAATATTGTTCCAAATATCTAACATAAATTTAAAGAAAAAGAAGATTAATTAACCTAATTTCTGTAAAATTTTCTAGATAATTCATTAAGAAAATATTAAAATAAATTCATGCTATTGATCCTAAATATGCTTGTTACTTATAAAATAATGGTAGATTGTTTCACATTTTAATTAATAATTAATAGGTGAATGCTTATTAATCTATTAATTTTATTTATAAAATGTTTAAATCAAAATGAAGATTAAATCACTTAGATTGATGATGCATCAGTTATTGATCCTAAGCATATTTATTCCTTATGTATTAAAGGTAGCGTGATTCATAATTACACAATTAGATTAATTTTTAAGGAATTTTTAATCATTATTAGATGAATATGATTATGCAATCATATGGTTGGATAAAGCATTAGATATCGATGCTAATCATTGTGATTCATTATTCTATGAAAGTAGATTGAAAAATAATTAATTGGTAGGAGAATTTTTATGAATTAAATTAATCATTGTTTGACATGTAAGATAACAAAAAGAAATACAATGAATCTCTAAAATATTTGGATTAAGCACTTTCCATTAAATCGCAAAAAACTAAATCATATTCTTCTCTTAGAAAGTTAGATTTATGCAAAAACTTTGAAGCTTTGAGTTTTGACGTTTAAATTTAATTATATCATTATTATTATATTGTAAGGTTATCAACTTTATATTATTTGATATTATTTGAAAAGTAGTTTTGATTTTAAATAAAGCTAATAAATTCAATTTAGTTTATATAATTTTAATTAGATTCAG